TGGGTGACTCAGTGGTTTAGCGCCGCCTTCAGCCCAGGGTGTGTGGTCCTGGAGGCCCAGGTTCAAGTCCCACATCAGGCTCCCTGCATGAAACGGAGCTTGCCTCTCCCTCTGCCTGTGTCTGTGCCTCTGTGTCTCTCATGAATAAATAAGTAAAATTTTAAAAAGAAAGAAAGCAAAAGACATAACTGGATGCATTCATTTTCAAACATCTTAGGTGTAACAGACAGGTACTTTCGAAGCCAGGTTGCATCCAGATTTTGCTCATGGATAAATCTCTTCCCCAGCCATCATAAAATAGGGCAGCAGAAGGGCAAGATGGCGGGCACTTTCTTTAAGTGCCTCCTTAGCCTTTGAGTTTGAGTGGAAAAAACTCATCATTAAAGAACAGAATTTAGGAGTGCTTGAGTGGCTCGATCAGTTAAGCATCTGACTCCTGGTTTCAGCTCAGGTCATGATCTCATGTCCTGGAATCAGGCTCTGTACTCAGTGTAGAGTGTATTTCAGATTCTTTCTCCCTCTCCCTACCCCCTCCCCACCCCGCTCGTGCTCTATATCTCACAATTAAATAAATAAATAATCTTTTTTTTTTTTAATGACCCAGAATTTGGGACACCTAGGTGGCTCAGGGGTCGAGCGTCTGACTTAAGGCGTGATCCTGAGTGTGGGGATTGAGTCCTACATTAGGTTCCCTGTGAGAAGCCTGCTTCTCCCTCTGCCTGTGTCTCTGCCTCTGTCTCTCATGAATAAATAAAATCTTTCTAAATAAATGAATAACAAATAAATGACCCAGAATTTAATGAAAAAATAAATATGTTTTAAAAAAATCAACATGGGTAAATGTCTAATTATTACTTAATATTATTTTAAGTAGAAAATGAAAGGACCTTTACATAAAGCCCTTAAATGATATCTGTTTCTTGGGCTTTTTAACCCTTCATTCCCTGCCTTATTAAGAAGCTACTGATTCACTTAGAGTCTGAAGACCGTCTCCTCTGATCTTTGGCTCCAAATTCTCTTGACACATTCAGGTGTTGTCATCTGCGAATTAAGGTTATATGTAAAATCCTAACTTTTACAACCTAATGAGTAATGGTTAGGTTTGCCCTTCTGTGAGCAGAGAGCTTTACAACTGAAACATTGGCAGCTTACCAGTACTTCCCTATTTTCTTTTTACCCTTTTTGTGATCTGCAGGATATTCTAAAGACTCTCCAACAGTCTGAAACAACAATCTGAAAGCAAAGTCCACTTTACTCATTAAATGGGAATGGCCTAAAGCATAAACCCTTAGAGAAGTCATAAATAAATTCTTATATACCTCATGACAACCATGGAATCAGATCTTGAAACTAGAAATTGCCAAGAAGGAAAAATGTCAGCATTCTTAAAAGAAAAACTACAATAGAAAAAAAACAAAAACCCAAACCCCATGACCCATCACACCCTCATATACCAACTACTCTTCCCTTTGGTTCACTCTTTCCCAGCCATACTGGTCTCCTAGAGAAGACATCAACAAGCCTGCCCCATTCCTAACTCAGTGGCTTTGTACTTGCTGTTTGTTTTGCTGAGAATGTTCTCTCCTTCTCTCATAACATACACACTACTCATTCCTCCTCTTATTTTAGGTCTTTATCAAAAATCACTGTCTCGGTTAGTAACCACCACTTACTGACTGCCTTCCCTACTAGAACATAACCTCCATAATAATAATCCAGAGATTGTTGCCAAATTTTTCATTGCTTCAGTACCAGATTTCTTTCACTTAAAAGTAATAAATTCACTTATCAAAACTCCAGTAAGATTTCAATAAAGAACTACAGATATCAAAATATATAAGCATTTAAATATAATATCCTCCTGAGTCTTCATTATAGAACATTTAAAGTAAAATATCTTCAAGTATAAAATAGGCAGGGTGTTTCTAACTCAGGTAACCAAACATATCTATTGTGCTTAAGTGGGCAAATAGTTTTATCTGTATTAGATAACCTCAGGCTTATGAGAAAGGCAATAGGTTAAGTTATACAGAAAAAGAGAAAGTAAAAGCAACTACAAGAGAAATGTTATGTCCTTCTTGCCACCATGTGGTATGAACATGAAGTTGAGAGCTGATAAGTCAGCCACTGGATGCTCCAGTTAGAAGACACTACCTAAGAGGATGAGAATGGAAGAGGATGAGAATGGAACAACACCCCAGGGAGCCAAAGACAGCTAAGGATTTAGGTCAAAAGAGCAAGGGAGATGGTAATTACTCTGTGGAAGCATTATCTGACAGGGGAAAAATCGACTACAAATCACCAACTGCAGGTTTTGGCAAGGCAGGCAAGAAAGCTGTCATCTATCTGGTGGACAAAGGATGTCATCACAAAGTCCAGAGGAGCTTGGAGGACAATATAGGACACTCACACAAAGATGAGGGTCCTTTCTTTCCTACCAAGACAGTAAATTCCCCCAGATACACCTGGGAGAAAAGTGGGGAGGAAGAGAAGTCTAAGAAGATTGTACTCATTTGTTTTAGAGAATTTAAGCAATATTTAAAGGAACAATTTAAAATCTAAACAGGACTAAGTTTTAAATAGTAAATACACCACTACCAAACAAGACATCAGAAAGTATCAGACTATATATAGGCCATACATCTTCTCACATTAGAATTAATTGTAATGTTAGTAAATACACAAAATGGGGCAACCCTCCTCGGTCCCCACCCTCTTCAGGAGCTTTATACTATCACTTTACTATCACTCAGCAAACCTCGCTTTGCAGCCCACCAAAAAAAAAAAAAAAAAAAAAAAATATATATATATATATATATATATATATATATGAAATGACTTAGAAAGTATCAGTATCCCAACACTAGAAAAAATAATTATGTAACATGAAAGAAGTGCTAACACTACAATGGCAATCATAATGCAACATAAATGTACCAAATTAATATGTTGTATACCATATACTTGCATAATGTGATGTCAATTATATCTCAATAAAAAAATTCTTTTTAGGCATTAGCAAATATCTGATCACAAGAATTTCTTAGGCATAAAAGCAGTTGCAGAAATCACACACACACACAAATAAGGCCATCTAACATCTAAAACTGTTGCACCTCAAAACAAACAAAACTAAAAGCCAGTTTTTTCAAAGCAAAATAATTAAACAAAACAGACATAATACTAATATTCCCAACACATAAACATTTGAATTAAAGACTGGCCAAGCAATACAAATTAGCAAAATCAAAAAGGATAAAATATTTGAAAACTATTCATCCCCACAAGTAATCATAAGCCAAAATTTAAAAACATACCGTACTATCAAAAAAGACAATGTGTTTTTTAAACTCAGTGTTGTCGGAATGGAACAGAATATACTCTAATTAGTACAAATTTTAATGTAATTGGGCAACACAGTATTCTTTTTAACCCAATATTCCCCTTATAGTACTATTTTAAGGAAGTAATCACTTCCTTAAAACTTCCTCAAAACTTGAATGTAAAGATTGCTGCACATTATTTACAATTGTCAAAAAAAGGGGGTGTAATAGATGATCAAAACAAGTACATTTTGTTTAAATATTTATTAAGTATTCTTTGTTTAGACTTCTTTATATCCTTATAAAGTGTATCCTAGCCAAATGAAACATTATATAGCCATCAAAAATGTCTTTCAAAGATCACTTAAAAATATGAAAAATGGGACCATCTGGTTGATGCAGTCAGAAGAGCCTGTGACTCTTGATTTCAGGGTCATAAGTTTGAGCCCCATATTGGGTATAGAGATTACTAAAGAAATAAACTTTAAAAAAATATTTTTAAATTATCACTATATTAAATTAAAAGAGGGCACAATACTGTATACATAAGATGAAAAAATTATGATATATTCAAACAAAGGAACACTATTTAAGAATAGAAAAGGGCAAGATCCAAATACAAGCAACAGGGATGAATCTCAAAAAGCAAAATACAAAAGCAAACAAACAAGAAAACCAATATAGGAAGTGAAAAGAGCCAGACACAAAAGAGCACATACTGTATGAGTCTATTTATGTGAAATTCAATAATATGCAAAACTAATCTACAATGCAGAACCATGGTTCCTCCTGGGAGGAGGCATAACAAGTGCAAATAAAAATGAGGAAATTTTCAGGGTAATAGAAACAAGCTGAACCTTGATCATGGTGGTCATCATGAGGATACACATATAAAAAGCAATCAAGTAAAACATAAATACATATATATACATAAATAGTCATCACAAAGTACATTTGAGAGCTGTGCATTTTGTCACTCATATAATATACCTCCATAAAACACTATAGAAATTGAATATAAAGGATAACTTCACTTTGGTTAAATATATGTGCAAAGAATTTTTTAAAATGTAAAATACATTAAAAATCTTAAAGGTATTTGATTCTGGAATTACAAGTTATTTATATTTTCTTTTTAACTTTTTGCATCTTCTACATTTTCTACAATGAGTTACATGACTTTTATGAATGATCAGAAAAGAACTTTTTTTTAAATTCTGTCTTGCCCATAAAAGAAAACTGTTACACTTGTAACTATGCAAAATTATGCAATGTTGAGAAAGATTTCGTAAATCCTTCCAACAAATTTCCTATAAATTAAAAACACTCATGTTTGCAATGTATTGGGACAAATTAAGAAAACCACTAATTAAGCTAAGTATCTGCTTGGTAAATAAATGAGCAAATCAACTAAGAAGTCAGAGAGCTATTATTGTGGCATAATTTTAAAACACGGTCCTGCCTGCAACAAATACAGGATTCTCATGAGTCAATAAAAACTAGTTCCTGAAAACCAGTTGTTGTTTTTTTTAATATTCCTTGTGAGCCTAATCTAAATTCCACGCAAAATGCCCAAAGTAAATGTTCCTTACAATGAAATTACTCTTTGAGTTTCAGAAACTTTTACAATATGTGTAAAATAATAAATAAGAACAAAACCAAAGAAAACATACAAACCTCTGATTGTACATGCCCCGAAAGTTGTAATTAGCTCTATAATTTGGGAAAGGCTTTGGATCTAATGGCCTGTAGATGGCAGGCTCTCCCCTTTTCATAGCAAGCCCATTCAGTTCCACAGTTGGAGTTATACTACCTGTTTAAAAAAAATATTAAAAGCACACAAGTGAAATATTTCCATAATAAATCACATAAGCCGTACTTACATTACATGTAATTACCATGAAAGAAGGTGGGAGCTGATGGCCAGTCTGCATGATTTTCTCAGGAGTGTATAAACAAATTACATAAACAGGAAAATTATTACTAATGAAATCTCTTTGGAGTTTTTGCGACCTTTTTTGTATATTCACAACCAAAAATTCAACTTGAAAGTCAGACTATTTAAACCAAGGGGAACACAAGATTCATACATTGCTTAATTTGGATACTATAAAGAATGTATTAAACTTCAGCATTACTAACCCCAGGATGCTTTCGATTAATCATTAAAAACATTGTCATCTGTGAATATTTTTATATTTTGGTAATTAAGCAACTGAAATTAGCAACGAATACAGGGTCGTCAGCAATTCTTGGACTTATCTTGAGAAAATATACTTTAAGCTTTGTCTGTAGGAATGTTCACTATCTTATTCTACTTTTGTAAAAGTTTGAAAAATTCCATAATAAATAATCCACACTGTAAATTATTACATCATATTGAGTACAAAAGAGGTTATTTAGTAAAATGTAAGTATACATGTTCCACAAAACAAATCACAAAGTCACAAATATGAAACAAAGTTTTCATAGAAAGTAAAACTATTTTTCAGGATAAAACCTGGCTATTTTTGTTTGAATTCTGCTTTTTGTAACATACATTTAAGACTCCATTTGTCACATACAAAAATTGGTCCACTTATTGCAGCAGAGAAGTTGGGCTGATATAAAGCACCTGCCAGGGGTGGTGGAGCCTGACACAAATGCACAACCAGCAGCCACGTCATAAGCAATACATCAAGAGTCAATGACTGCTCACTTTGTGTCTCAGGTCTAAATAATTTATGCGAAATCACTAAAGAGTATAAACAATAACAGGAATTAAACCAAAATTAAGGGGGGATCCCTGGGTGGCTCAGAGGTTTAGCACCTGCCTTCGGCCCAGGGCGTGATCCAGGAGTCCTGGGATGGAGTCCCACATTGAGATCCCTGCATGGAGCCTGCTTCTCCCTCTGCCTGTGTCTCTGCCCCCCGCCCCTCTCTCTGTGTGTGTGTGTGTGTGTGTGTGTCTCATGAATAAATAAATAAATTTTTAAAAACTTAAAAATAAATAAACCAAAATTAAGGAGAAAAATAAAGAGTGTGGTAGGACAAAGGAAGTGGAAAAGGAAAAAGCATAAGAAAAACAGCAAAAAACATTAACATATTGAATAGTAAGTAATTAGTCTAAACACCTAATTTAATACCAACACTCAGAGCAGAGGAAGAGAAAGTGAAGAAAGGGATTCTCTTTTTTCTTTCCTACAGTATTTTACTGAGGGATAAATAAAATGCACAAACCCTAAACATACAAATCCACAAATTATTACACATTGTAAACACTCAGTAACCACCATTCTGATAAAGACATGAACATTTCCATCACAGCTATTTCCAGTCAATACCCACCTCCCAAGTTACCTGTTCTGACTTCTGTCATCAGTTTGCCTGTTCCTCAAACCTGAACATGTATTATTCTATCTCGCTTCTTTCACTCAATATAACAATTTTGTCAAATATATCAGCATTGCAAATATTTTTTTTTTATCACTGAAGAGTATTCTACTGAATGAATGTATCAGATTATCTATTCTGCTATTGATAGGACATCTGAGTTGTTTTCCAGTTGGGAGCAATTAAGTATATAGCCACAGTGTTTTAGCAGACACATACACTCAGTTCTCTTAAGTATATCCCTAGCAGTGGAATTGCTACTAGATCATAGAGTAGGCTTATGGTTAACTTTATTAGAAATTGTCTAACAGTCTTCTAAAGATTCAACACCACAGGGCAGTCTATATCTTTAAAAGTTTGAATTTTTCTTACTCCGTAAGATTATAGTTTAATAATTAACATGTTAATCACTTATAAGACTTAAGTCATTCTGAATTCTACTTCGCAACAATCCTACAGACACAAATAGCATAAAGTTCAAATGGGGAAAAAAAGAAAAGGAAAAAATAGTTTCAAAGACCTCATTCTTTTAGTACGGCAATAAACAGCAAACCAAGGTGTCTAAAACTCACCAGTGAGGGGATTTTAATGCACTGGTAGGATATAATACATCCTGCCACCCATACCAAACTTGGGTTTTAAACTAGATAAAAGTATCGTATTCATATCATTTAAATAAATTAATGATTCCTTATAAATTCCTCATTTGAAAGTAAGGCTGCTGTCTATTCACAGAAATGCTAATCTTTGTGAAGGAGAGTGGAGAAGCAGCAGACAAGCACAAACTGTGCTGAAGAGATTTTGACTCTTGGAGTGAAGTACCTCCACCTGTTTTGTAAAGAATTAGACTGCCATCTCTGTGTGTGCACACCCCCTTTCCTTACCCAATAATGCTATCACAGAAAACATTTAAAGGGTAACTTCCAACTATAAGAACCCACATGTGATGTTCAGTACCACTCCAGCAGGTGCGACTGGATCCCCAGGTTGCATAAAGACGATCTTTACACAGCAATCCTCATGCATCACATGCCTGTAAATCTGACACTGTCAATGCAGAATCCATTTCTAGTGGTTTTTCACTATATTAAAAGAAATTTATCAGTGATAAGTATAACAAGGCTATTTGGTTATATATGTAACATATATATAACACATAACAACTACTGTGGATTCCTATTATGTGGAAAATGAAAGAAAAATCCCACAACTAGTTTTCAAGGAGCTACATATTGCTAACACTAGAGGAAACAGCTTTGTAGGCAGTTAGAATAGCCCCTGGAACATAGCAGTCACTCGAATATTTGTTCAAAGAATGAACCAATTAATTAATCAACCAAGACTCCTTGAAGAAATGGCTGGTACCAGCCAGGACAAGGAAAATACAAGATGACCTTGGAACATCTGTGCCGAAAAGTAAGGAAAATACAAGATGACCTTGGAACATCTGACTGTGCTGAAAAGTAAGAAGTGCTAAGAATGATGAAAACGGTAGAAGGAACTGGAAAGGTACATTAACCCTGGTCAAGTCTGTGACAAATTGAGAATCAAAACAAGTAATGATAGACTATAAATCTGTAAGTAAGATAGGAATCCAAGAGTCTATAGTGATAAAAATAAATGAACAAACAAAAAAAGGAGGGGAAAGAGAAAATTCTAGGGTAGAATGCCAAGTAATCTAAAAAAAAAAAAAAAACACCAACAGGAACCTTTTGAGAGAGAATAAATTTCTCTTGTTTTAAGCCACAAAAATAAATAGGTAAATAAGTAAATAAAATCACCCTGTGGCACTCTTCACTCTACTGATTCAGAAAATCATTGATAGATGTCAAATCTAGTCGGTGAAAGTAAGTTTGATTAACAGAATGTTTATATAGTCCCAAAGTTTCTCCTAAGAAAACACGCATTAATTCCTTATTACTTAATAGGAAAACTTATTAACTTTACAATAGAGAATCCTGGCAAACATAGTCTTCACCAAGTGACAAAAGTAATCACTGATGAGACAAATCAGTATCAGGTGTATCCTGATATGTAACACTGAGATTAGCCCAGGCCACTGGACATTCATGCTAAAAATGCCTACAATCATCAGGAAACACCAGATAAACTCAATTGAGGGCCATTCTACAAATGATGTGGCCTGTACTGTTCAAAAATGTCGTGGTCATCAAAGACAAGAACTCTGAGGAACTATTTCAGCTTGAAATAGAATGAAAAGAAATGACAGATCTATGATCTGATTAGATCCTGGACCTATGAAGGACATTACTGGGAAAATCAATGAAGAAGGAACAAAGCCTGTGCATTACATGATAATACCAAATCAATGTTAACTTCCTGACAGGAGAATGACTAAGTACTTGAGAAAAATACACTGAAGTCAACTAAGGGGAATGGGACCACATGTCCACGACTTACTCTCAAATGGTTCAGAAACGTTAACAACTGGGAAATCTGGGTGAAGGGTACACAGGCACTCTATGAACTCTTTCTACAAATTTTACATAAATATGAAATTATTTCCAAAACAGTTTAAAAAATAAATAAAAGAAGGGAGACACCAAAATAGTTCTATGATATAGTCTTAAGTCATGCTGTAAATGAATTTAACTCTTCTCTGAGGTGTAAATACTATTTCTATTTCATATGAGGTCTGGACTCAACTCCCCATCCCTGTAGTGCAGTGAGAAATGGATTGTCTGGGAAAAAAAAAAAAAAAAGAAAGAAATGGATTGTCTTTTCAATAAATGGTATTAACTGAACATCTATATATTAAAAAGAAGAAAAATCATGAACCCTACCTCATATCACACATAAATCTTAGTTCTTGACAGACTCTAGATCTAAATTTTTAAAATAAATAAAACTTCTAAAAATATTACAAGATTATTTTCATGACTTTGTAGGAGAAAAAGTTGTCTTAAATAAGACACTAACCATAAGGGAAAAGACAAATAAATTAAATAAAGAATATCTGTTAATCAAAATATACTATTATGGAAAGATAGTTATAACACAAATATGTAACAAAAGATGTGAATCCAGAATATGTAAGAATCCCAAAGTCAATAAAAAATAGAAGAACATAAAAAACAGAAAATGCAGGGTTTTTTTAAACAGGAAAATTATTTCAACTGGCACCCTACAAGAGAGGAGTAATGCCAACAGCCAGATAAAAAGGTGCTCTCCATCCAGTTGTTAAAGAAATTAAAAAACTACACTGAATTCTACTATACACCAGAAGAATAGCTAAAATTTTTAAAACTTAAGAGATCATATGTTGACAAGGATGCAGAGAGCTCTCATACACTGCTAGTAGGAAGGGAAAATTATAGTTTGACATGATGTATTATGTATGCATTTATTATGTGTATTTTTTCTCAAGTATAAACTTGAAAGGGGGCAAACTTTTTTTTTTTTTTGGAGACACAGGATTCCCTAAATTGGGGAGGGGCAAAAAGAGAGGGGGTTTTGCTATGTTGCCCAGGTTGGAGTGCAGTAGTTAAACACAAGTGCAATCCCACTACTCTGATCTGCTCTGTTTCCAGCCCGGTCTGGTTCACCCCATCTTAGGCAACCTGGTGGTTCCCAGCTCCCAGGAGGTCACTATATTGATGTGGAACTGAGTGCAGATGCGTGATCAGCAGAGCAACTACAGCCCAGAACTTCTGGGCTCACCTGGTCCTCCCGTCTCAGCCTCCCCGAGTATCTAGAACTACAGGCACATGCCAGCTGTATGTCTCATGCATGTTTTGGAGTTTTATGGTTTTGTTTTGGGCTTTTTTTTTTTGGGGGGGGGTCACCCTGACCCTTTCGTTGTTGAAATTAAAAAAAAATAAAAGATATTTTAACACAATAGTGAATGTATAGGGTAAAGGCAAATAATAAAATTAATCTTAAATTAAGTTCCGAGCTGAATGTTTGGGCTTCCAAACTGGGTAATCCAAAACCACTTAAAAACGAGTATGTTCACAGTTTACAGCAATTGGCTTACCAAGTGAGAGAATGGTCAAAGTTTTTCCAGCTGAACTTCCAAGGAAATTCTCTCTTCAAGGACATACTTTGTTACTCTAATTCACTACGCAATCTGGCCAAAACTGAGTTTCCTGTGTTTAAGCCTCAATGGTTTTTTTTTTTTATCTTTCCCAATAAGTCTAGGAATAAAAGACTGTGATGTAAGAACAGCACCTATGATACCTGCCTTTTGTGTATGCTGATGACTTCCTGTCTTAATTCATATTCTGATTTGATTTATGCATGAACACATGTGTGCCCCATAACCCAACAGTTCCAGTACTAGGTACATCCCCAACAAAAATGTATAGAGACAAGAATGTTCACAACAGTTTTATTTCTCAGAGCTTGAAACTAGAAACAATCTAAATGTCCATCAACAGTATAATGAATAAATAAATTATGGTATATTCATGCAATGGAATACTATACAACAATGAAATACTATGCTGTTAAATACAACATGAATGAATCCCACAGATGTAACATTGATAAAAACAAGCTATCACAAAAGAGCACTGTGCATGATTACAACAAGCAGGCACAAAGAATTTAAGACAGCAGGATAGTGGCTTCCTCAGAGTTGTTTAACCACTAGAAGTGGGCATGAGGGAGGCTTCTGGGGCACTAATAAACCCTGTGGTACTAGTACAGTATTCACGGCACAAAACCCATCAAGGTTCTAAAATTATAATTTGTTCACATGTTGGTATGCAATATTATACTCTATTTTAAAACTTTACGGGCAGCCTGGGTGGCTCAGCGGTGTAGCGCTGCCTTCAGCCCAGGGCCTGATCCTGGAGACCCTGCATGGGATCGAGTCCCATGTCGGGTTTCCTGCATGAAGCCTGTTTCTCCCTCTGCCTGTGTCTCTGCCTCTGTGTCTCTCATGAATAAATAGAATCTTTAAAAGAAAAATTTTTAATAAAAAAAATAAAAATAAAACTTTACCTTCAAAAAACTACTCATTGTCCCAGCTCACTGCTACACTCAACAGCAGAAACTCATCTCTACTGGTCTTTCAGATTCTCCTGTTTCCTTCCCCATCTCCTTTGCTGGTTTACCCCCCATTATAATCTTCTAAAGTGGAACTGATGCAGAGATGGGCACACCCTGCCCTTGCTTCACACTGTATACTCCAGTTTGTTCTCTAACATGGCTTCAACCATTGGATCAGCAACAGTTGTCCTGTTCCATTCCCACTACCATTCCCAATACTATCATAGAGCAGAGGGCGTATAGTACTCGATGCATAGGAGTTTATTTTCTTTACCCTAAACTATGGCAATAGTTCCCTAACTGATCTTCCTTTTAGTATTTTCTACCTTCAATCCACATATCAAACCAAACTTCCTAAAATGCTGTTTTAAACACATCATCCACTAGCCTGTAAACATTCATCCCCTAAACCACTGATAAATTTAATCTAAACCTGACATTCAAGTTCATCACAATTTACCCCTACTATATCTCAAGTCTTAAGTCTTCCTAGTCACTTACCTGCTCTAATTAAAAACCACCACCAAATTTTTTTTTACCAAATCCATTGTCCACAGTCCTAATTCCAATGCCTTTCATCATAGTACTCCCTGACTAGAATATTCTTTCCTCACCTCTATCTCTGTCTACTCTCCATTCAAGGACCGTATCTCCCCTCAACTACTCCCATCCATGTTTATCATTACTTATAATACTGATGGTTGTTATTATTCACTTGGTACTTAATCTTTACCATTGACTCATATGCTTTACGCATATAAATGTAAAATCTTCAGAGAAAAGGACAGTGTTTTATATCTCTTAAATATATAAAAGCAAGTGCTTATTAATACATAGAGGCAGTTGTGTGGTACTAACAATCAGTAATCTGAAGAGATTTTTTAAAATTATAAAAGGAGATAGCCTCTTACCAAATTCATATTGAATAGTGTTTTTCTTTATGTAATAATATTTGGCTTATTTAAGCTTACTTAATAAATACTAGAATCGGGCAGCCCCAGTGGCCTATCAGTTTAGCGCCGCCTTCAGCCTAGGGTGTGATCCTGGGGACCAGGATCAAGTCCCACATCGGGCTCCCTGCACAGAGAGCTTGCTTTTCCTTCTGCCTCTCTCTCTCTCTCTCTCTGTCTCTCTCTCTGTCTCTCTCTCTCTGTCTCTAATAAATAAATAACTAAATCTGTAAAAAAAAAAAAAAAAAAAAAAAACTAGAATCAGTTAAACAGAAGCAAAAGGATATTCATGGACTTTTGGAAAGAGCAGTCCTTGAAAGAACAGATTAGATCTACTTAACACATGCCACAAGAGAAAGAAGCATCAGAATTGAGCATAAGCATGTGAACTCTAATTAAATAGATTACAGAGTCCTTTCTGGCAGGAAAAAGTCTTTTTTTTTACTCCATTAAAAAATACCTAAAGCAATATTTGTCAGAAAGTAACCTCTTAATTTAATAAATTAATAAGTAAGTGGATGTAGGGCTAGTACTAAACTTATAGAATTTTCTTAACTTGATGTTATCAATTCATGTATTATGCCCAATATAGCCTCTTCCAAATGGATAACTGAACGTACAATGTTATTGGTAGTATATGCAACTGGAACAACTCTTTAAAATTATTCTTAGGAGATAAAAACTGGAAAACTCATTTACATAAATTTGAATGGTTCTATCAACCATTTCTACCATTTCTACACCAATAAGCAAAATAAGATGCTTAAGCCTAGTTGTATAATTTCTTTATTAAACTAAAATAAAGATGGGGCACCTACATGGCTCAGGTGGTTAAGCGTCTGCCTTTGGCTCAAGTTATGATCCCAGGGTCCTGAAACTGAGCCTCACATCAGCCTTTCTACTCAGCAGGGGGCCTACTTCTCCCTGTCCCTGCCACTCCCCCATTTGTGCTTTATCCCTCCCTCCCTCTGTCAAATAAATAAAATCTTAAAAAATAAAATAAAAAAAAATAACTAGTTTTCATTTTTAAACTGTATATTTTTATATATTATATAAAAAGAGAAATTGATCATTTCTATCTTTACTTTAGAAAAAAACTCAGTCATTGCAACATTATTTACAATAGTCAAATTATGGAAGCAGCCTAAGTACCTATCCACAGATGAATGGATAAAGATGTGATATATATATAGACAAAAAAACATTAGTCATAAAAAGAATGAAATCTTGTCATGTGCAATGAGATGGATGGAGCTAGAGAGAATTATACTAAGTGAAATAAGTCAATCACAGAAAGACAAATACTGTATGATTTCACTCATGTAGAATACAAGAAACAAAACAAATGAACAAAGGGGGAAAAAAAGAGAGACAAACCAAGAAATAGACTCTTAATTATAGAAAACAAACTGATGGCTACCAGAGGGGAGGTGAGTGGGGGGTGAGGGAAATAGGTGACAGGAATTAAAGAATACACTTATCAGGAAGAGCACTGAGTAATGATGTGCAGACTTTTTGAATCACTATACTGTACATCTGAAACTAATATAACACTGTACGTTAACTATACTGGAATTAAAATAAAAAACTTAAAAAAAAAACTCAAACATTTTGTTCTTTGTATCTAAATTATTTTTGCCAACATCTAAAAAGTAAATAATACATCTTTAGAGCATCCACAAAGCAAATTTTTAAAATAATTACAATTACCTGCCCCATTCTCTTACTCTGACTATAGTCAAATGGCCTGCTATAAAGAAAAGTACAGAAAACAGCATATACAGAACACAACAGAAGAAACAAGTCAGTGCCATACCTGGGTTATTATTAACATTACTTTTGGGTGGTTTCTGAACTGGTTTGGGAAGTGTAGATTCAGTCAAAGCTTTATTAGCAACAGCTTGTTGGGCCTTCTTTATACTGCTTCCTTCGGATTCCCATGTCTGCTCACCAAGACTCAGTTGCACTGAGAACATCTTCAAAAAACATAAAGAGACAAAGAAAACATTTAATTTTTTCAGGAAATAAAATATGGTGACTGAGAGAAAAAAAGATATACCACAGAATCAAAATTTTAGAGTTAGGGATGACCTTACAAATTATTTATACAAAAATTTTATTCTACCTAGTGGAATAATTTTAAGAGATTGTACCAGATATTGTTCTATCCTAGTCAAAGGCTCAGCAGCAATTCTCAGTGAATTGCTCAGTGAATAGTTATTCTATTTTGGGTAGAATAAAGAAGAAATTACCTCCCTAAATAGAATCATATTGTTAATGTCATTCAAATAATCCTTATAAAGCAAAGTACAAAGAAGAGAAACTAAGAAAATCCACGAGGCCCTGTGTCTAACACTTATAAAATCTAATTCCTTAAATGTCATACTTAGTACAATCTAGTCAAAGAGTCAGGCAATCCTACCAAATATTATGTCACCAGGAAACTCTCGATCTTCTACAACCAACATTTAATCAGTCACCAAATTCTGTTAATTTTAACCTCAAAAATATTTCTCAAATCTCTCTCTAAAAAAAAAAAAGAAACAAAACAAAACAAAACAAAAACCCTCAAATCCAATTTATCACCCCAACCAACGCCAGGTTAAAAACGTTTCACTGTTCCCATTGTGGCGTGGCACAAAAGTTCCACCTGTCCATCTTCATTTCATAACCACCCTTTCCCTAGTCATCCAAACATTCCATTCACACCATAATTTCCATGTGAACTCAAAACTTACTGTTCACCTTCTAAAATTGAGGATCAAGACAGAATACACAATGTTTTCCATAGACAGCTTACTACTTTTACTTTGCAGGAATACAAAGCATTAACCCCAAGGTACTTTTAATTACAAGGAAATAAATGTACATTAAGCAGGAAGGAGGTCAGGTAGAAAATTCCTTGACCAAGTGATTAAAGTTAGCATCATCAATAATCATACAAACTAACATCATTTACCTCCTGATATGATCCAACAAGAAGCATTTATTATTCTCGGCCAAAAATGTTTAACCTGAACTAATCACAGGAGGAAAAACAGACAAAATAGATTATGGTATATTCTGTAAGACAACTGGTCTAAACTCTTCAAAAATGTCAATGTCACAAAAGGAAAAGAACATACCATAATCTAGATTTGTCTGGTTTTCCCCCTCCACGATTAATCTGTATGATTTAACCTTTCCTGCCTCCGACTTTTCTAGATGTCACCATTTTCCTAGGCTCATAGGCACCTTTGAATGGTCTTCCTTGTCTCCATTTCTCTCTCCATTCTCACCTGCATCCATTTATCAAACTACTGACTCAACTTCAAAAGTAGTTTTCAGGTCTGGCCTCCTCACTTTATACTCTTTGCATATATCTTAGCCAAGAATATCAACCTATCTCCCCTACACTACTATAAGACCATCCTAGCATCATTCCCTTAACCTAAGACATTCCCATTCAAACTATTCTTATCACCACAACATGGAACATTCTATAAATTACAAATGTATCTAAGTCAATCCTCTGCTTTTCTGAAACTTCTCTACAGGATTCCACTAGCTTATTGTACACCTAAAACTAATACAATGTTATATGTCAATTATATCTCAATAAAACTGGAGAAAATAAAAAGAATCCCACTACAATAAAAATTTAATAATTTTAATAAGGAATCCTGGAAGACATTGTGAGTTTAAATGGTACCTTTACCATCTACAATGTGCAAAAGTTAGGAAAGCTACCTATTCCTGTTCCTTGTTTCTTTAATAAACCAGGACTAAAAAGAACACACAGGATTTTTGTGAAAATTAAAACAAAATGATGCAAATGCTCCCATTTAAAAGGTAGAGATTGTCAAATTCGATAAAAAAAAACAAAATCCAACTACACACTACTTACAAGTAATGCATTTCAACTATAAAGACAATAGAAAAAATGTATCATGTTAACATAAATTAATGAAAAATCAGAATGGCTATGTTAATATCAAACAAAGTAGATTTTGGAGTAAATATTAATGCCAGTGATAACAAAGGTCATTTCTTAAGGATAAAGGGGCCAATTAATCAAGAAGATGTAACAATCTGGAATGTTCACAGCTTCAAAATATATGAAGCAAAAACTAATGGAAATGCAAAGAGAAGTAAAAAATCCAAAATTTACATAAGAAATTCAATGCCCCTTCTCCTCTTAATAAGTGATAGAACAATTAACAAGCAATCACAAAGAATATAGTAGACATAAACATACTATAAACCAACAAAACCTGACAGACATTTTTAGAACTCTCCACCCAAAAAGAACAGAAAATACATTTGTTCTCAATTTCTCAAAAAACATTCACCAAGAAAGAAGATATTCTGGACCATAAAACAAGTCTCAATAAATTCAAAGGATTCAATGATGCAAAGTATGTGCTCTGACCACAATGGAATTAAGTTAGAAACTAATAAGAGAAAAATCTCTGGAAAATCTACACACATTTGGAAACTAAATAATACATTTCTAAACAACTCATAAGTAAAAGACTAAATCAAAAGGGAAATTAGAAGGTATTTTAAACTGAATAAAAACGAAATACTACATCCTAGAAGGAAACACTAAAATAGTACATAGTACTAAGAGGAAATTTCAAGCACTGAATGCCTATTTTAGAAAGAAATAAGGTCTCAAATAAGTTAACTTCAGCTTCGATCTTAAGAAACTAGAAAAAAAAAGAGCAAATTTTTCTCTTAGAAGAGAAGAACTCTTAGAAGTTACAGGGGCACCTGGGTGGCTTAGTCAGTTAAGCATCCAACTCTTGATTTCAGCTCAGGTCATGATTTCAAGGTTGTGGGATTGAGCCCCACATTGGGCTCTGTGCTCAGTGAGGAATCGGGATTCAGTTTAGGATTCTCTCTCTGCCTCCACCCCTCACATGCACATATGTACATGCACACACTCTCTCTAATAAGTAAATCTTTATTTTTAAAAATCTGAAATTAACAGGAAAAAAAGTAATAAAGTAAAAGCAAATATTAATGGAATAGAAAATAAAATCAATAAAACCAAGAGCTACTTCTTTACAGAGATCAATAAAATTCATAAACTTACAGCCAGACTAATCTTGGGGGGTGGGGGAAGAGACGTAAATGACTAGTATCAGAAAATGAGAGAAATGACATCACTCTAGAGTCCTGAAGTATTAAAAAGATAACAAGGGGGCAGCCCTGGTGGCTCAGTGGTTTAGCGCCGCCTTCAGCCCAGGGTGTGATCCTGGAGACCATGGGTCGAGTCCCATGTCGGGCTCCCTGCATGAAGCCTGCTTCTCCCTCTGCCAGTGTCTCTGCCTCTCTCTCTCTCTCTGTCTCTGTCTCTCTCTCTGCATCTCTCATGGATAAATAAATAAAATCTTTTAAAAAAAAAAGATAATAAGGGAGTGTTTTTAACAACTTCATGGCAATAAACTCAACAATTTAAATTCTGTGAAAGAAGACAATTACTAAAGCTCATTCAAGAAGAAATAAGTAACCTGAATAGTCCTATGTATGTTAAAGAAATTGAATCTGCAGTTTAAAATCTTTCCACAAAGAAAGCTCCAAGCCCATTGGTTTCAATGATAAATTCTACTAAATATTTAAGGAAGAAATAATACCAGTTCACACAAACTCTTCCTCAAAAAAGGTAAGACACTAGGGAAAACAATACAAATCAAAACTATCCACCAATATCTCTCATAAAGATAAAAGTTAAAAATCCTTCACAAAATATTAAATAAGGAATGCAAATCGGGGGAGCCACTCTGGAAAACAGTATGGAGGTTCCTCAAACATTTAAAAATACAGCTACCCAATGATCCATTTTGTATTTACCCAAAGAATACAAAAATACTAATTCAAAAGGATACATGTTCCAATGTTTATAGCAGCATTATCTACAATAACCAAATTTTGAAAACAAACTTCCCATCAACTGATAACTAGAGAAAGAAGATGTGGTTTAAAAAAAAAAAAGAAGAAGAAGAAGAAGACCCATAGGCTAGAGGTAGATCTCTGAACAGAAACTTGGCAGGCCAGAAAAGAGTGGCACAATATATTCAACATGCTAAATGGGAAAAATCTGCCAAGATTTTTCTATCCAATGAATAGAATATTCAAGAAATATTAATAGCCAAGAATATTCTATCCAATGAGGCTATCATTCAGAATAGAAAGAAAGATAAAGACTTACCCAGACAAAGATTAAAGAAGTTCATGACCACTAAACCAGTGCTGCAAGCAATATTAATGGGAACTCTTTGAGTGGAAAGACCAAAAGTGACAAAGAAAGGAACAGAGAAAATCTCCAGAAACAATGACAAAACAAGTAATAAAATGGTATTAAATACATATCTGTCAATAATTACTCTGAAGGGAAATGGACTAAATGCTCCAATCAAAAGAGATAGGGTATCAGTATAGATAAAAAAAACAAGACCCATCTATACACTGCCTACAAGAGACTCATTTTAAACCTAAAAGACACCTGCAGATTGAAAGTGAAGGGATGGAGAAATATTTATCATGAAAATGGAACCAAAAGAAAGCTGGAATAGCAATACTTATATCCAACAAACTTGACTTTAAGCCAAATATTGTAATGAGATGAAGAAGGGAACTATATCATAATAAAGTAGACTATCTAACAAGAAAATCTAACAACTGTAAACATTTATGCCCCCAACATGGAAGCACCCATAAAACAATAACAAACATAAAGGAACTCAATACGAGAATAGTAAGGGACTTTAACACCCACTTACAGCAATGGACAGATCGTCTAAGAAAATCAACAAGGAAACAACGGTTCTGAATGACACACTGGACCAGATGGGACTTCACAGATAAATTCAGAACATTTCATCCTAAAGTTGCAGAATATATATTCAAGTGCACATGAAACATTCTCCAGTATAGATCACATGCTAGGTCAAAAAACAGGCCAACAAGTACAAAAAGATTGAGATCATAC